ACTTCTCAATATTTTATGTTTGTTTTATGTAGAATCGATATGACATTACAGTATATTCAAAAACAGCACCTAAGACTAGTAAAGACTTCAACAGATAACTCAGTAAGTTAGTTATTTGGCTGTGGAGCCAGCATTTGGAAGTTTGATTCCCCAATGAAAAAAACTAGCCTGTGTAGTCTTGGGCAAGCAACACAGTCCTGGGTATCCCTAGAAGGAAATGGAAAACCACTTCTGAGTACTATATATTCAGAAAACATGGGGTGACAAAAAGTTGGCATCAGCTTGATGGCACATAATTATTACATACTAAGATTATCAGTTCTCCACTGATAATAGTGATTGCAGAACCATAAGCAGATAAGAATTTCAGTGCATAATTGCCAAATGTAAGTCTGAAGGATTCTGTATAAAATGTACAAAAAATACACACCACTTTGTAACTTAGGTATTTTTAAAACCAAGAAAGCCACACTGGGCAAAAATGTAGGTAAAAGAAGAGATTAAACTGAGTTTGGATATATTTAATAAATTCAAGGCAGCACATAAAATATTACTAGTACATGTTATAGCACAATGCATCAAAGTTGCACTTCTGAGGATATACAGGCATTTTAATGTAACACATAATAAAGGATTCTAAGGAACAGAAGTGTAGAGATGTGGATTTTCCCCCAGAAACGCACCAATGAGGACTTGACCACCAAACATATACAGTAGCTATGTCTTTGATTCTGCTTCCATTCATATCAACATGAAAATACATTTCTTAACTGAAAAGAGATGCAAAGACTATTAAGGGCCTTAGGCACTTATTGTGTCAAGAAACATCTCCAGGTAAATACCACCAAAACCAAAAGCTCAGTTTTAGGGAAAAGGAGAAAGAATTACAGATGGCAGCTGAACAGGTAACTGCAACAGACCAACTGATACAAATACATTCAAAAGTTCAGGAACATGATCAGGCCACTTAGAATCTGCAGCTCTGTCAGCAGAGGCATCCGCCAATGCTATTTATTGTTTTTCTTCTGGACCAGGTGGAAAAGAGTGGAACCACTAATACAACAGTATCAACCCCTTCCTCAGATGCTCTATGGAGCTCCAGTGTGGCCTTTTTCAAATATCACAAAATTGGAATCTGTCCACGCAAAATTTTAACCAAATCATTAGGGGTATCAAGATCTACTTCCATGGCCATATGAGACTTCATGCTATCCTGTGGATACTCTCGCTAAGAAAGCAGCTGTCCTGTTCTGGCTTAAGATAGTGTACCATATGGCCTCACTGTTGGTCTCATTGGCCTATAAAGAAATGGGAAGGGACTCTTGGCATCTAAGATATCCACAATTATAGCAAAGTTGGGTTACTCCCCAGCCTATCTCCACAGGAGGGGATATGAGGCTGTCCAAGAAGGTATCATTAAAAGAGTATACAATATTGATATCCAGACTACCATGGCATCTGTAGCTAGCTGCAGCTCTAATAGGATATGCAAAGGCTTTTGCTTGCCTTTTGGAAAACTGCCCCCTTATTAGCTCACATGAGCTGAGACAACTGTTACCGAGGTACAGACTGAACTCATTACAGTTGAAAGAGATTCAAAGGCATTACATGGACCAACATAATATAGGAAAACATTGCCCAGCAGGATGCTCTAAAATGGAGGACATGTATGCAAAATGTCCTCTGTATGCAGATGTGAGGGAACAATATCTAAAATCCTTAAAACCTATCAAGAACACATCCCCTCTATGTACAGTCCCATTTCTGCTAGCTTGCACAAATCATTATATAGCCTATAGGTCTGCTAAATTTGTTAAACAAGCCATGGAACGGTTGAACATTGCTTGTTTCACAAATTCTTCAAATTAATATCACATATTGATTCAAGATATTTGAGAATGTTGATTATATTTTATTACCATTATTTTATGCTTTTTATGCTTATTTGTACTTACATGAGATGCCAAATACTATTTTATAATTGGTTTAATCTACTATGTTCTTGTGTATACCCTGATTGGCTACAAAGCAATGTATTCGTATTCGTAAACAAAGAGTTCAAAACCTCAGATTTCAATGGCACAGCTTTAGGTCCCACTGAAATTAGTTGGATTTCAGGCATTTTCCCACTAATTTCAGTGACACTCAAGTTCACTCAAAAGGCTGCAGCAGAACTTACTTTTCAGTATATAAACTCCAATACAATAAAACTGTCAGGGTAACACAGATTAAACTTTGAAGGAAAGGAACCAGTGTTCTATACTTCCCAGGGGTGGAAGGGCACAGATACCAGGAAAAACATGATTTCAAAACTTCCTAACATTGAAAAATCAGAAAACTCAGGCCTAATGTTGTCACTTTGGGCCTTTAAAGGTGATAGTGATGGATAGTTTGTGCCATTACAAAAATAATCAGTGATTACCTGCTAGCATGAATGAATAAAGTACCATGGAAACTAGAAGACCATAGATTTGAGAGTAAACTGTGGAGAAGCTTCTATACTGTATCTCCAAAACATGCCTTCCAACTTACAGAAAAGATCTCCAGTTTTCATGTTACGCTGCATACTTGTAAACCATTCCTCTGAGTAGCTAAAAAAACACACACATAAAAAGGGGGATGGGGATATTTCAGTAAAAGTACTTTGAAATATTGTATCTATTTCAAGACTTCCCTTCAGTCAGAAGTCTGCCTTATCAAGAGGCAGAGGACATGAGTACTGTTCAAGGCAACAGCGTGGGGAGCAAGACAAGATGTAAACTGTGGGACACAGTAAATTATTGTGCATTTCAGTTCAATTGACAGAGCTTGGAAAGCTACCTTAAAGAAAAATGCAGGATCCAGAGCACTGTCTGAACACTGTTCAGTTACAGATGACCATCATATCATCATATGCATTATTCTTAAAGGTAACTTTCTATGTTCTGGTTTCCAACGATTCTGACCCATAATTATAATTAGAGATACCATCTGGATTTTTTCTTCAGACACTAGAATGTATTGGATTGGACCTACTCTGAGGCAAAGCAAATTGCAAGACTAGTATTACACTCCATTGAATCTATTCCACTAGTCACCATCTACAAGCTGTTCCAGTGCTCTGCACTAGAGTGCTGGTAGCTCTGGCTAGGCATGGCTCCTAATTCTTCCTCCTTTGCATGAAAAGCTATAAACTGGCCTCCACATGTACCTGATGTGATAAAATGGACTTTGATACCAAGCTGAATTGAACTAGGAAGTTTTCTTCTGTTTTTGGTAAAGACATAGGGTTAGGACCCTTTTTAATAGTCATGAAGTACATAAGTATATTATAGAGTACATTATAGGCAGTATGTGTGGCTGAATTTACTGGACCCAGGAATCTATGAATATTGTCATATTTAAAGTTCCCAGGGTTATTTACATTTCTCCTAAAGCTTATTTCATGACAGCACTGAAGATACTTTGTTAGTACAAAGCAGTTACAAGGCCATAATGAAGGAGTGGACAACTTCCCAGAGATGGTAGACTGCATTGGATCCTGCTCCCAACCCATAATTGATGACAAAAACACAGCACCAAACAAAGTGAAAGGCAAAAAAATCTCAGAAATTTCCATATACACTTGATCTCATGCACCCATGTTGTCTGTTTTTCACTGTTACATATATTGCCCTTTGATTTTACAGATTTTACAGTAGGACAGTTTGTTGTGTATTGTAGGAGATGTTAAGAATATAAAAATGTGAACACATTTTGCCCAGAATTTAACACGTGGTAGAGTCAGTAATGTCTGAACAGCTGTTGTGGCAGTTCTTACAAATATGCTTTCCTATGGTGACAGCTGGTATTTATGACAATAGTGGAACTTGAAGGCTATCAAGGCACCCAATATGGTCATACACGATAATCTTCTGCTTTTCATAGTATATACATTGTATATTTACTGTACAACATAGTCTCGCAAGATTGAGTTAGGCCCTAGAAAGCAATGAGCAAGCTCAAAACATTGTTTCTGGAATCTCAAACTGAATTTTAGTATAAGGCAGGTTGGAAAATAAGTTTTAATTTCCAAGTCATGTTACAGCTGTGACAGAAGTCTGTATTTTATAAACACTACGAAACTCAGAAGTTTTGTACAAGATATATCTGCTGCCTTTTAGCTAGTTTCATGGGTTAATTATTTTAAAATCAGACATAACTGTAAGTAACTGCAATAAGTAAGCCTGCCATAGAAAATACCAGCCCCATCCAGTTTCTTTTACTATCCATAATATTTAGACAGGCATGACAATATTACCTACTCTCTTTCAGCACAGTTATGCAGATTAGGGCTAGAGAGCTGAACGAATGTTTGACTAAACAATAATTCAACACATGGCACCAGTTTCAGTGTAGTTCTATCATCAGAAAATGTTTTCAGAAATGGTAATGACTTACAGGATCTCTCTTATTCTCTTACATTGAGAAGAGCCCTATGATAGACTTGGGGCTTTGCAACATGTCTATTTAGATTAAAAACTCAATTTTAAACATGACTTAGATTTTAAACTTAGCAGAAAGGCATAAGTGCAGAATCCAAAACATTTCAGAGATATATACTGGCGATAAGAAAAACTTGGTGAGGAAAACCACATGAACTCTTTCTTCCACAAACATATACAGTGGTGCCCCGCATAGCGATGATAATCCATTCCAGAAAAATCGTTGCTATGAGGATTCATCACTATGCGAAATAAAAAAGCCCATAGGAATGCATTAAAACCCATTTAATGCATTCCTATGGGCAAAAAACTCACAGTTAATCCTGCATACGGCCACCATTTTCGCTGCCCGGTAAGCGAGGAATCAGCACGAAACACAGCGGGCGGCCATTTTTTTACCCGGTGGCCATTTTGGAATCACCGATCAGCTGTTAGAAAAACATTGCTATGCGAAAATCGGTAAGTGAAACAGCTTACCGATCACACAAAGCGATTTTTTCCTATCTAAATCATTGCAATGTGATCGCTTTTGCGATCGCAAAAACTTAATCGCTATGTGGATTCGTCATTAAACGGGGTGCCCGTTAAGTGAGGCACCACTGTAATTGGTGAAAAGGGTCCGTTACTGCTATAGCATTTCCAGAAGAAAAAATGCACTCATTTCTTCACTAACTTTTCATTAGAAGTATCTCACACAAGGATAAACCTATACTGTCCTGTTTTGCCAAAAGAAAACTATCAGTAACACAGAACACTGGCTCATATTCATTATAAAAATCTTAATGGTTTTAACAGTGAGGTTGGCCAATTGGAAGAACAATGTAGGACAGAGTTTGAATACAAGAAGCTGCAGATCCAAGCGCTAATCCCATATTCTCAAGTAGTTTCAAGAATAAATATTTGTTGGCCGTTCACAGTGCCTCTGAATTTCTTCAGCAAGATTGAGACACAGGAGAATTCGCCTTTTCTCAGCCTCCAGTTCTTCTTTGGAGACTGATCCCAATAGTTTTTTGGCAAAAAGAACCAAATCTTGCATGAAGGGGCCAACTGCTGAACGGGGAGCCTCAGGGAGACTCTCCAAGCACCCACTTGTGAAGCAGAAATTGATCTTCTTATCTCGTTTCATCCCTGGTCCCCTTTCTTCAATCCAAGTCAGAGGCCTAAGTGTCATAAGAAACAAAAGAGAGCTTTAAAAGAAGAAACTTTAACATCCAAAATGTATTTTTTAAAAGAAAGATCTTAATCAGATGTTTCTGTCATGGTATTATAGAGATAGCAATAGTATGAAAGGCCTTTTGTCCAAACTTTTGCATTAGGATGTTAAGAACTACCACTCAATGGATATTACTTATTCTGTAATTCATACTAGCTTTTATCTACAAGGTTCTAAGTCAGGACTGGAGAACCTTAGGTCTTCCAGATGCTTATAGCTGCCATAATTCTCCACTGTTGGGTAGGCTAGATGGAGCTTCTGCAGCTCAAGTCCAAACTACCTGGCGGGCCAACATTTCACTACACTAGGTCTAGACAATGGAAGAACACTCTCTTTGCTTTTGTATGCATTCTGGCTATGAGCACTGTGCCTCCCCAATACTGAAATTAAACAGGCAGCTGTTCTGGAAATAAACTACTTCTGAAGACCTGAATAAGCAAATTCTGGAAACCTGTGGGAATGGTGGGTTCTGCAATAAACTGGGTTACATGCTCCCACAAAAACCAAGACCCACAAAATGAAATCAAGTGGACTTCCCTTTTTGATTTTTTTTATGATATTGCTCATTTTGGGTCTCATTATGGCTCCCCTGGTGGATGGAAAATATGCCCCCAAACCTTCTGATGTTGTCCAACATTGCTATAAACACTGCAGCCATAGTTTTGACACTTCTGTGCCAATGACAGGAGTAAGCCACAGCAAATAATGGAAATAGCAAACAGAAATGAGTATACAGTGCACCTGGCAGTTTCAGACTGTTACTGCAACAACAGTCTACTCATAAAACATGGGGGAGGACCTCAGCCATTAGGATGCAAAGGAGATGAGGTCTTCTGTCTTTTTTTCTTTTGGCTGGTCTAATAAAAATTATAGCCCTAATATGGATTTTGAACAGTTTGGATAGTCAACGTGACTGCCTCTACATTCTACATTGCTTAAAGGATATGAAAGCTAACTCTTCATAAGTGGGATTTATGAGGACTACGGGCTGCTGGGAGGTGGGACTTAATTATTAGTCAATCCTACCCATTTGAACTTCAGTTGACACATTTCCTAACTCATGGAACATTATAAACTGCCACCAGATGTATTGACATGCAATCTACATGATCTACAACCAAAAGAGAGCCACGAGTTTCAAGGGGAATAGAAAGAAGCTAAAATGCTCAGCTGGATGTCATGTTCACAACAACGGAAAATCATAACTTCTATCTGTCCCTTGTTTTCGTGCATGACAGTGGCTAGTTCCTGGCTTCTGCTAAAACCGAACACTATCAATAAGTCACCTGAAATATTTTAGTATTTGATGCTTCTCTGCCTTGTTATCACCACAACTGGGCCAGGAATAAGTATTAGTAAGAATGGCCACTGCTTCATTCTCCATTTTGTGATACAGCACTTTCTTTCTCCATCCCCCTACCAGAATAGCAGAAAAGAAATGCTTTAGTATCTGGAACCAGTGAAATAATGACCGCTATGCGGTTTCGTCGCTAAACGGAGTGTCCGGTAAGCGAGGCAACACTGTACGTATTTGGTATTGCATGAATAATACTTGGTGGCAGCATGTAAAGAGGAAATGCATCTAGAGGGTGAACCTATGTTTAAGAGACAATAAACAAGGGACACTGGACAAGACAGTTACAAGCATAGGTGTTCAGTTAGCAATCTTCAGTATTTGTGTCTGTGTATTTGATTCCATGTCTAATTGCGCTGGCCACGTGACCACGGAAACTGTCTATGAACAAATGCTGGCTCTACGGCTTGGAGACTGGGATGAGCACCGCGCCCTAGAGTCGAACATGACTGGACTAAATGTCAAGGGGAACCTTTACCTTTTATTTGATTCTTTGGGAGTTGTGGATACTTCTGGCTTTGTTCCCAGTAGGTGACCTCCTGGAACATTTTACTGGTGGTACTGATGCTTATACTCTGGTGAACTATGTTCCATAAACAAACTATGATTGTGTCCATTTTTCTTAAGCAACGTTCCTTCAGCCCTATAATTCATGACACATTCTAGAGAACAAAACAGTGACTAGGAATGTATGGTTTATTTTGTTTTACTATTAGAAGTCTGTCTTGTCACTTTCCCTAAAATTACGAGAGAACTCTTTGCTGCCCTGGGAGAGACAACAAGAAACAAAAGTAGCTTCTCTGAAGTGCAGAGCCCTTCACAGTAATTTTGTTTGCTTGATGCGATTCTAGAATGCACTAGAAATGCTTTTCCTTTATCACCTTAAAAACACACATGTTGAGGTGGTTGAAATCCAAGGCTCTGTCACAGCCAGTTAAAACAAACCCAGACATAAATGAAAGCAGGCCAAAGATGCAGCTAGCACAAATACACTGGGATCACTGGAATGATGCGAATGGGAAACTTTGCCCAGCAACAGAATAAATCTAGAACATGATGTATCTCAGCCAAAAATTAAAAAGGCATTCAGCATGGCATTCAGAAGCTGCCTGCACAAATCTTTGTAAGCTTTGAAAAGATAACAGTTGGATTCCCCACACCCCACCCCAGTTCTAGACAAGCTGGCCACAGAGGTCTTTGTATGTACAACAACTTTTTAAGACTGATTTTGAAGATTCAAATGTAGGTTTTTAAAATAAACAGAGAGTAAATGATATCTTGGATGCTTGCTGCCACTTTTTAGTGCACCCTGCTGGTGCACTTTATTTTAGGAAAAAATACCAAAGTGTGCCTTTCCCGGACAATAATATATTTAAATTACAAGCCTATAGTCAAGATGTGACTCAGTTCCTTTTGCCTTTTTGGCTTGTAGGGTCAGAATACTGTCATACCAAGGCTTGGCTCTCCAGCCAATATGCTGCAGCCCTCCAAATCTCCATTGTTTGCTTCCTCTCCCTGCTCCTTGCTTCTGCTTCATGAACCCTTTATCTCTAGATTCTCGGTGTAATTTTCACCCAGGTCCTTGTCCCAGGTAACATCCTGTCATCCAACATGTTTTCAACTGAAGGGGCAGCTGATTCTTGCTTAAGGTTATATGAACATTGACATATTTAGTGACTAAACACTCGCTGCCATTTTGCTATCTCAGCCAGTCATGTAGAAGAGAATTTCAGAGCATGCCACTCCCCTAGAAGTGAACTCGGGGGATGAGGGCAGATAGCATTGGAGGCCAAACATGGCCCCTGGAAAACAAGAGATGGGTCTTTATATGCTTGGTGGAGCTTTAAAGAAGCACAAACTCTACAGCAAACTAAGAGAGCAAAAGCAAAACAGTTAAATGTCTGATTCAGAGCTAACCATGTTCAAGAAGCCACACAATGTTAATTGTCTGTGAGTAAAGTAAAACAACATTGTAGGATGGCTGTGCCCACATACAGAATGGCTAAGCTTGAATTCCTTCTATCTAGTCTGCTATCCTGGAGGAAGACATGGCTGCGTGGCAGGAACCCTGAAAGACTTAACAAGATTTAACACTGACAGATCATTGTGAACAGCTGTTTAATTACCCAATGAAACCACACACTCAGTAAGGGCAGCTTTTCAACCAGCCACTGTCTTTGCACCTAGCAGCTTCAAGGTAAAGGTTTTCATAGCAGGGAGATAACCTGCTAATATCTGCATACCAGTTTTCTGTTAAAGACACAGCACACATTTTTTTGTTCACTTGGCAATTGTACTCGCGGAAAAGTGCTTTGAACAACCTAAAATCTGTATAGAAGCATGCTGCCTTTTGCTTTTTATCAGCTGTTGGTCATCCCTACACAATGTGAATTCTAGCTACAGACCTTGATGAGCTGTCTCATCCCTGCTTGATTTGTTTATGGGATCATTTCTAGGACTTGGGCACTTCTTGGGTTTAATGAAGGAGAATGCTATCTTTTGTCAGTTGTCCTTTGCCCCTCGGGGGTCACAGGCTGGAGTAGGGAGAGATCTTCATGAAAGTTCAATTTTATTCAAAATATAGAAGCAAAACTTCTCTGACTCCCTGAAAATTCTACTGAGCAAGACTCATAACAAGCTGTGCTACAGAAGAAGGGGGGAAAGTTGCTTTTACTAGGGCTCTGACTACAGCTATCACTTTACGGTTAATCAGCATTTTCTAGGATTTCATGACACCAACCTTTTATTTGCAGTTTGAAAATTTGCAGTCATTCTAGAGTAATTTTTCTCTTTCTGCTCTTCTCTCATGGCAGAAGTGACAGTTAGATCTCCAAAAAGGTCAACCAGCCAGCTCAGACGGGCAATCCCACTAAAAGCCGGGAATCCAGAACGTTCTTCATCCAGCGGACCACCTATAGGGATGAGAATGACCACTTGGTTAGGGAAAAGAACATGGTTAGAGGAAAAAAATGCTAAAACATCTTGGGGAAAAAAAGATGTATCTGTATTATAAATAAACAGAAAAAATCATAAAGTTTAGTGTATACATATCAGCAAGTTGGACTGCACCATTAGTAAGGAGGACACTTTATAATGCTGTTACATGAAATATTCCCATCAAACACAAAAGTCACTTTGTAGACTGGCATGGAGATGGGCTGAGAAGATTTTATTTTATCTGTTAGTGTATTATTTGAAAGGAGGTTTGTTTTGGTTTTATTATATACTGGGTAGCACACCTCCCTATCTGTACTAAAAATAGTACAATCCATTCCAATTCCTAATTATATCTAGACCGTGCTCTGTGTACTCCTTTAACACTTGTGAGGTGTTAAAAGGCAACATAATTTCCACTGAATTCCATAGATGAGGGAATGCTACTGTTTACAGATAAATTATAATTTGTCAGAAATAATCTAATATATTTTTTTTAAAAAATATATTCCACAAAACTATGTGGTAAATCATCAGGCAAGGATCAGAGGCAGGATGGAGGTAGACAGTACTTTGGCTGCCTTAAGTTCAGAGATGTGGTGGTGCTGTGGGTAAAACTGCAGAAGCCTCTGTGCTGCAAGGTCAGAAGACCAGCAGTCGTAAGATCGAATTCATGCGACGGAATGAGCTCCCATTGCTTGTCCCAGCTCCTGCCAACCTAGCAGTTCAAAAGCATGTAAAAATGTGAGTAGATAAATAGGTACCACCTCGGTGGGAAGGTAACGGCGTTCCGTGTCTAGTCACGCTGGTCACGTGACCACAGAAACTGTCTTTGGACAAATGCTGGCTCTATGACTTGGAAACGGGAATGAGCACCGTGCCCTAGCCCTGGCTAAAATCTCAAATATAGGTATGGTCTAGATATAACTCTGTATGTTTTCAAGAAGATACAATTATGCATTATATCCAAACTTCAACTGTGATTAATCTTAATTATAGTTTAGGTAGCCATAGAATGCAACTAAGGTTTAGCTTATAGAACCAAGTCCTGCCACTGGAAGGCATGGATAGGGAGAAAACCAGTGAGGGCCCTTAGTCATCTCGCAAGTAAAGAGGTGGGAAAAATGCCTGAAGCTTAGCAATGCAAATGTAATTCTCAAAATTGGACAACTAAATATATGGCTTGCAAATATACTTCAAACCAAGATTTCACATTCTATTTTGTGGTCAGTCTTCACCCATGTAGTTGATTTTCAGGTACTATGATAAAGGTAAAGGTTCCCCTTGACAATTTTTGACCAGTCGTGTTCGACTCTAGGGGGCGGTGCTCATCCGTTTCCAAGCCATAGAGTTAGCGTTTGTCTGAAGACAACCTTCCATGGCCACTGCGACTTAGACACAGAACACTGTTACCTTCCCACCGAGGTGGTCCCTATTATCAACTCGCATTTGCATGCTTTCGAACCGCTAGGTTGGTGGGAGCTGGGACAAGCGACGGGCGCTCCCTCCGTCCCGTGGATTCAATCTTACAGCTGAAAATCTACAGACCTTACAGCACAGAGGCTTCTGCGGTTTAACCTGCAGCACCACCACGTCCCTCACGTCCTATGATAAGGAACATGGTAAAGTGTTGCATTGCATAATATGTTGCTGACTTATCTGCTGACTCATCATATAGCTAGTTCATGGGATAGCACTTTTCTAACAAATCTAAATCTGGTATATTCATATGCCAGCATGCCTGCAGTGAAGAATGTTCTTCAAAGAGGCTAAGTATCTGAGAGTGGGTCACTTCTTCACAGCCAAATAGAAAGAGCTTCCAGAATACAGTACTTCTTGAGGGTGGAATACCTATATGAACTTCTATGGATCTAAAAGGGGTTCAGAATTGTCCCTTCAGGAAATGTACAACACAGTGGATGAAATCAAGTTGAGCACACACCAAATCAGACATTAAAAAATAGTCTCTAGCAACTGACCTGTGAAATGTAGTGTCCCTTTCACAAGCTCCTTCCCCGCCACTTCTTTCTTCAGTTGTTTGTACTCCATTGTCAGTAGCTCAATATGCTCTACATGGAGGATTTTACCTATCATTGAGACAAAACCAATTTTAATGGGATTACACTTTGTGCCAAATGAGGTTAAAACATGACTGACTCTTACAAATGGCATGGCTTTACGGTTGCAAGAGAAATTGTGCAAGAGCAAGAGAGACTGTTAGCCTTGCAGAAAAGTATGAGAGAAGTTACATGACTTGTACTTCAACAAGTAAAGCCATGGAACTCCCTTTGGATGAGGGGGTTACAACTCTTTGACGAGGCAGTAGCTACATATTCTATTGCATGGTGTTTATTTATTTAAAATATTTTTATCCCGCCTTTCTTCTTAAAAAAAAAACCCCACTAAATATGTTCACTAAACTGAAGAAGTCACTGAGATAAAGAATTCACAAAAGTGAAAGTACATCACTAAAATGTGAAGCAACCCTCATGAGAATAGGTCTATGAATCATGTGGACTACTATGCCAAACACAGCCCATTCACCATATACTATATTTTGTCATCTGCTCTATTTCTTCCTGGTTTCTGAATCAAAGAAGGGAGCAAACAGAGGGATTCACCAAATGGTCCACAGCACATAGTCAGCAAGTCATACGTTATGTAGGTCTGCTTCAAAATACATTTCCAAGAGAACAGCCATATATATATCGTTTTACTTTTGTTTGTGTGAAAAACTCCTGTGACAAGAAAATCTGCAGCCCAAGAGGGATGTACACATTGCAAAAAAGCTTCATGTAATATTTATAATACATTTCCTTACACTTTTACTTTCAAAGAAAGATAAAAAATATATATTAAATCCTCCTTTAAAATTAAAGCAGGAAACTATATTGTCTAGATCAGGGACAGGGATTCTTCGGCTCCCCAGGAGTTCCTGATTTATCATTCTGAGCATTGGAACAAGAACCTTGTTATCAATCGCCCATGTAGATCAGCAGAAATCTGTAAAACAAAAATTAAACTAATTCCTATGTGACATTTTACATCAGCCAGACTACATTACATTAATAAAACACTCTCCCCTCCATGTTGAAGATGATGTAAGGAGCAGGGACAGCAAATATTCAGAATTGTACCTCAGTTAAATATAATATAATAATATAATTTATTGTCATTGTAAGTATATACACAGTATACCATACAACGAAATTCACAGACACCCAGAGACCAGACACATGCACACACATAACATTCCCCAAACACTCCCCACCCACTAGAAGTCCCCCACTAAAAATACAAACATCTACACCTCAGGCCAAGTAACACAGTCCAACTAATTATTCACTACTGGTGGTCTTTAAGCTCATTATTAATTGCAATTATAGCTCTAGGATAAAAACTATTTAGAAAACGTGTGGTCCGAGTCTTAATTGTTCTATATCTTCTGCCAGACGGTAACAGTTCAAAAAAGTTATAAGCAGGATGGGAAGAGTCTCTCAGGATGCTGTGTGACTTCCTCAGACAGCGGGATGTGAAGATGTCATCCAGGGTTGGTAGCTGGAGCCCGATGATATTCTGGGCAATTTTAATGGTTCTCTGTAGAGCTTTTTTGTCCGCTACAGAGCTACTCCCAAACCATGCCAGAATGCCATAAGTTAGGACACTCTCAATGGTGCTACGGTAGTAGGACAGAAGTAAATGCTGTGATAAATTTAACTTCCCGAGCATTCTCAGGAAATACAACCTCTTCTGTGCCTTCCTTATTAGCATGTTGGCATTTATAGTCCATGAGAGGTCCTCTGAGATATAAGTACCTAGAAATTTAAAACTACCAACTCTCTCCACTTCCTCACTGTTTATGTACAGTGGTAAATGTACATTTCTCTTCCTCCTAAAATCAATTATGAGTTCTTTAGTTTTTTTGATTTTAAGTGTGAGATGATTTTCTTTACACCATAGTATCAATCTTTGTACTTTAATAACTTATGTTTCAGTTTTCCTGATTCCATTCCATTCCCTATGTCCTATGTCCTATGTGTTGCATCGTTTCAGACTGTAAGCCCGAGGACAAGAACAGTTTGTCTTCTTCTACTGACATTTAAGTGCTTTGAGAAACTCTCACACAGCAAAATAGGACTATGAATGCTATAATTATCCAGGTGCCCTCACAGAAGCAAAAGATACAGTTTTGATGTTACCTTTTCTTAAGCAAAAAGAATATCTTTGATATACATTGCTATCTGCCAACAGGATGCAACAGGGAAAGGAAATATGCCAAACTCTTTCTAGAATGCCATGCACCAATACAT